GAGCATGCCTGGCTGTGGAATTCTGGGAGTTGAAGTCCACAAGTCTAAAAAAATTGCTGCCTCACCAGCCATAAACCTCACTGCACATCACTGCTAAGGAGATACGACAAGGGTAGGGAAGGGCGCAAAGGTTGCATGTGGGTGCGAAGGAGGTGCAACAAGGAAAGTGGGGGTTCAATTTTTCAACTCCTCCAGGAAAACCACGTGTACGATTCTACAAAAATCAGCAGGAGTTCAGCTCGACTGAAAGAATCCCCATATTATGGGCAATCCAGGAAATATAAAACTTATATATTAAAATATAAATGCTAAAATATAGAAATAATGCAGTTTCCTTAACGCCACTGTAAAACCACTGCAAATCGCTGATAAAACAAAATATTTTGTAGCTCAGGATCGAACTACAGAATCCTCAGCTCTCTCTGAGCTTGATTGTTTTCTTGGAGACGTTTCATTACCAAACTAGATAACAGTGTCAGCAGTGCCCGAGGGAAGTGGGCGATGCTTCCAATTTATAGACATAATATGCTAAGATTGCCAACCTTAACTGAACCAGAAAAGGTTTGAGAGGAATAATGTTTGGATAGGAGACCACCCAAAGTTCCAAGACCCATAAGCACCTGCGTGACAGCCAGGTAGTTCTTGACATACAACCACAATTGAGTGCAACATTTCTGTTATTAAGCAAGACAGTGGTTGCATCAGTTTGGCCTCCATTTTAACAACCTTTCTTGCCACGATTGTTAAGTGAATTATTACTGCAGATGTTCAGTTAGTAAATCTGGTTTCCCCATTTGGTCAGAAGGTCACAAAAAGGGATCCCATGACGTCAGGACACAACAACGGTCGTAAGTATGAACCAGTTGCAAAGCATCTGAATTTTTGGTCATAAGTCTCTCTTTAAAGTGCTGTTGTGAGTCACTAAACTTTATGGCCATTTGCTGATCTTCAAGACTTCAAGAAAGGAAAGTATTCTGAATTTCTCAGCGGGAATTTGTTTTTCTTGGGGCTTCTGCAAAACATTTGAATTCAATAATTGTTTGGTGGCTCCATTTCTTTCTTTTCTGCCTAAAATGATGCTTTTTCTGTCCTGGAGGATACTTGGCAGTCCCTCATTGGAAGACAAATAGGATTTCCTGATCCTGAAAAAAGATCTGTGTAGATCCACTGCCCCCTTCTGGATTGGTCTCGATCGCTCAGCCTTGCATTTTCCACGGCTGAAAAAAAGGTGCATAATTAATCAAACACCATGATTTAAAGCAGTGTTTCTCAACCTTGGCAACTTGAAGATGTCCGGACTTCAACTCCCAGAATTCCCCAGCCAGCATTCGCTGACTGGGGAATTCTGGGAGT